AAATCAATAAATTTCATATTTTAAGACTATCTAAATGATGTCACAAGCTTGAACAACTTGATGCTGAAGTGTTTCTTTTGGTAAATTACAGCTCTGCCCAGAAATCATCCAGAGAGCTACCATTCCTTTATGTGGCACAATTTCTTCAAACACATTGACATTCTTCCTGAGAACGCCCACCTTCTAGATGGGAACGCAGAGGACAAGGTGGCGGAATGTGAGCATTTTGAGGAGGAGATTAAAAAGGCAGGGGGGATTGAGTTATTCATGGGAGGTAAGGTTCTAGGACCAAAAGAAGACTTTAATATCTCAATGTTAGATTTGGGGGTGAGATGTGGTATGGGAATGTGGAGGGAGGGGGTAAAATGTGTATGGGTCACAAATTTACATTCTGATTTTCACACTTATCACAGTAGTTTGTTTCATTTTAGCTGTAGTGACTTTCTTTGTCTGTTCTTTAATTAACTTGTGCATCAGATTGGGAGTTATGATAGTTAATATATGATAAAAATGACAAATGTGTACAAAAAATACTAAATCACTTAATTTGGGGCCATCTTAAGACATTTTATATTACAAATTAAAAACTCATGTAAAATATTATGCGATTATAAAAGACCCATTTTCAAGAAACATTTAAAGCCTTATTTATTATCAGATAACTATAACTATAAGTTAAAAGAATACTTTCATAAATGGTCATTTCATTTAAGATCATTATTTGAGATAAATAATTTTATTGTACAGGTTTTAGACTATTTTTAGTGATAAAACAATTTTTCTGTACAGGTATTGGACCAGACGGCCACATAGCCTTCAATGAGCCAGGCTCCAGTCTGGTCTCACGTACACGTGTGAAAACTCTGAACCAGGACACAGTGGAGGCCAACGCCCGTTTCTTTGGCGGAGACATCAGCCAGGTCCCCACTGAGGCTCTGACTGTGGGAGTGGGCACTGTCATGGATGCTAGAGAGGTAATGTGGTGTCTCTGAAATGCATGGAGATAACTATGTCTGTGCCAGTATATGTGTTGTGTGTATTTTTGTAATGGTGTGTGTGTGTGTGTGTGTGTGTGTGTTAAGGAGAAGAGAGAGAGATAAATAGGAAACACTTTCCAATTGACTTCTATCACTAAATATTATGTCACAATTAATATTGTAACATGGACGTTTGACTTTTACTGTAATGTCCACTTGCAATTAAGGGTGCTCTAAGTATACCAACATAGTACTTATATCTTTACTTTATACAGCTTAACATATTTTACCTCATTACTGCCTAAATAACTAACCTCCACTTTACTCCAGGTGATGATCCTGATCACAGGTGCTCACAAGTCCTATGCTTTATACAAAGCAATTGAGGAGGGAGTCAGTCACATGTGGACAGTGTCAGCTTTCCAGATGCACCCCAAAACAATCTTTGTCTGCGATGAGGATGCCACGTTGGAGTTGAAGGTGAAAACGGTCAAATACTTCAAAGGCCTTATGACCCTACATAACAAGTTGCTGGAGGAGAAATCTGTTGAACCCTCATCCAAAAAACAGAGGAGTAATTAGAGTAATGTCAGCTGATTAAGCTGGAATATATCCTAGCATTTTTTGCCAATTAACAAACTTTCATAGCCAAAATCAATAACTAATTGAGGGGAGCAATTTTATTATTATTATTGGTTTTCATTTTTAATTTTCAGCTAAATTTATATATTTGCCATTCACTGTATATATAAGTATGCTAGTCTTAGGTCCTGAAAGAATATATCTATTGGAAGGACTGAGAGCACAGCATGTTACTGGTATATTTGGAAAAAAATTGTTCACTGCTGGTAAAGCCAAGTCAGTTTTACCAGGTTCATACATGAAAAAGCATGGCCAGTGTAAACTGTCTTTAGGAGAGCATTTATATTTTTAGAGTGTAACTAATTAATTACATGATTGTTTGTTGTCAATTCTCTTTTATTTTAAACTCATTGTTCTTAGTCTGTGTTACAATATTACATGATGTTTGAAAATGGGACATTACTATGTGATGGTATTCTGAACATTTGAATCATTGCTCCAAATAAGTGGTTCTCTTTTCTGATATTCCACAACTGCAAGAAAGCCATTGCTTGCTAATTTTCCATGTTGTTTTTCTAATCCAAATCAAATTGTTAATGTTGTAGTTGTTCAGGTTTCTGCAGGTAGGAATTGTGTCACGATGTACTAGGACAATCTCATAGTGAGTGTGCCATTTTATATCCTTATATTTATGTATAACCATTTTTTTGTCGTCAGTGTGCCATTTTTATTTCATTTATGTAGAGATACCAGTAAGATTTGTTAATAAGTAGTAAATACTGGATTAATTTACAGTCATATATACCTCAAATTATCCTAGCAATACATTATTTAAGCCAACAAATATATATCATTTCCTTTCATGTTATGGAAAGCAGGTATTTCATTATTGTTCTTATTAGCGTCCTTGTCAGCGCTGACTTTTGTGAGGATGTTTCACATAATTAAGGATATTTTCAGTCCAGGAAATGGTTTAAAAAAAAAAATTCCTGTAACATGTATCGGTAGAGTCTTAAATATGATAACAAAGAAATGCCTTTTTAAAGGACTAATAAAAATTCGACCTAAAATTAAAGACCTTTTGTGAAACTGGTCTTCCTGGTCTATCTCTTTTTATTCACATAATTTTGAAGTTCATTAGCTGTGTTGGTCAAATCTTGTATACAAGTGGGTACTTCTTTTCATGCAGGCTCAAAACAGAATTCAAGCGACGCATCAAAAGAAACACTGTAAACAATGCTCTTCAAGGAAGATTTTGCGTCTGACAATCTCGTTTCCAGTTTTTGAAATGGTCAAAATATACTAATTTAGGTAGTTTTAAAGATCAAAACAGCTTGAAAAGTGTAAACACTTTATTTTCAGCATTTTCAGCATTGGTTACACTGCTTGGGGAAATTAGAAAAGCAAAGAACAAATAGTAAAAAAAAATATTATACTTTCTTTTATGATATTGAGATTTAAGGGAGCCAAACAGGTTTATCAGTTGTACAACTAGCCATCTTCAGAGATTTTTTAGTCTTCTACTGAAAAATTATTTAAAATCCATGCATTAAGTGATATTATGTAAAAAATATTCAGAATGAAGAATAAATTGGTTTTCACATCCAGTAGTATGTTACTGTTGAAAGTGAGGCTACTAATTATGTAGTGTGACTTGTCATGATCTAAACATCAACTATAATTTTGTGCAAGTATTAATTTGAAAATATAAAAGTTATTTATAGCCAAAGGATATCATGAGGAAATGTGTGTTATTGTTTTCATTTTTTTCTCTTTCATGTTACTTTTTCAATACAATTAGATCATGAGTAAAACAGCACCCAGGACTTCAAAAAAAAAAAAAAAAAAAAAATTAAATGCATGCTATCACACTTGAACTAACAAGGGAAAGTTACATTTATTCATTGTAATGTACAGTCTTATAATTATATAATAAAGAACGATTAAAAAACAGTTCTTATCAACCAAACTGCTATCAATCTTTGATATCACAAGTGTACAACCATGAGACATTATTAAGAAATAGAGCAAGTTATAACAAATGCAACAGCAAAAAACAAAAACAAATTTTATCTAAACAAAGTGGAGGAAAATTCATACAAATATCTTGTCCCAAGTAAGTGAAAAACCTTTCCATTGTTAAAAAATTAAAATGCCCATTCCTAACAGTGATTTATAAAATGTTTGAATGGACTTAAAGTGACACTGGCAAAAAGAATGTTATATGAGACTGATACAGAAGAAATCCAAATGGGAGGAATTCGATAGTGCAATCATCTTCCTATGTAATTAAAGAGAAATAAACAACACAAACCACATAAGTGTAAATTACAGTCAGTTCTACAAATGATACCAACATGCACTCAATTTAAAAACAACTGTCATCTTCATGATTTAACTCCACCCCCCCCCAAAAAAAAAAATAAATAAAAATTAAATAAAAATTAAAAGAAATAACAGTAGGTATCCCTCCCCCCTCCCAGCATTTCTATAAAGTTGCCTCTTTTTAAGTAACTACTTAATTACCTTCTTTTTGACTTTCTTGGTCCCTACTAATCTTTTGTGCCTAGGACATATTAATTTTCTTATATATGTACAAGATCTTTAAACTGTAAGATTCTTTTTGTCATCCTACTTCATTTAAATCATTAAAAAATGTCTATGCAAAGGTAGAGGACACAAAACCCCACTTTCTGTCAATCAATCCACTACAGAAAATTTTCTCTGTGACATTGTGGGTGCATCAAGTTGATCTAACACATTCAACACTTTGGTAAATAATCAGTAAGACCCTACTAGTATGTGTGTGTTAAGCAGAGAGTTTTGTGTGTTAAGCAGAAGGGGGTATCACAGGAGGGGCAGGTGCCCTGACACTAGTTTAAGGGGCTACAGGTGAGAACATTCCATTACCTTTTAGCTCACAGCCCAAAATACAATTTAGAGCCTATTTCCATAGATGTGCCATTGATATCAAGGGCTATTAAGCAGTTCTTCCTGCCCATTTTCTATATAAGGTATTGTGCACCTCCACATGCCACAGAAAAAAATCTATAGTCATGATAACAAAAAAAAAAAAAAAAAAAAAAAAAAAAAAAA